TTTGGCCAACACCCAAGCGCAAGCGCACGGACGCGCGCAAACACAAAGGCAAACGCACAGGTTGCGGCTCCGAGCGGCCGGAACGCATATGGCGGTCTTTTTTTCGGGGGTACTCCCTTTTTTTGTTGGTTTTGAAGAGAAATCAAAAGGACACCAGCCACTTTTGTGGGGTCCCGTAAAAAAGACAAACCCATCTGAAGCCACCTCAAACTTTGCTCCCGCAACGTGTTGCAACTCCCTCGCCCCGCACTCGGAGTGCAATTTGCATCGTGGAAAAACATGACAAACCATCCGTCGGCGCCAACTCACCATGACTCACAATCAAAATCCGGTATTCAAATGGTCTACCCAGAACCATGCAAAGAATTAAGCAGGCGGATTCCCACATCTTTTTATTGGGATCGTCCCTCGGTTGCTTTCTGCTCCCCTGCTAAAAGTTTAACTTTTAGTGGTTTAATTGGAAACCCATCAGTTGGCAGAAAGTTAAAGTCCTAAACTCCAAGCAAAACGCACCAAAGGTCCCCTACTAACCTTTTACCCGAATCGGCTTTGAGCAAGCAGCTCACATGGCAACTCTCACCGGAAACGCCGAGCTAAACCTCTCTCAGCATGGCCGTGCGGGAAACCCGAAATGATTTCCCGAAAAGTTACAGTCTAAAGATCCAATCCAATAGCAGTGAAGAATAGTGCTCATGGATATCTGGGGTGTTTCACTCCAAGGGAGCCAAACTAGGCGTCTCTTTTTTTGGGGGGATTGTCGGTTTTCCTTTTGGATTCCTGTAAAACTGCCAAAAAGGGGTACCAGCAAAAACAAGACCGACCCAGCTACACATCTCGGATCAACAGGCCTTCGCAAGGAAGCTACTAGCCCTTCAAAGGTATGAAAGCCTCCTGCTTCCTGGATGCCAGCACAAAGGAACGTGTGTGTGTGTGTGTGTTTGTTTTTTGGGGAACCCCCCCCGTTTGGCGGGTGTTTCATGGGAACCGGAAAAGGCAACCCGGCGCCGATCTCCGCAATGTGAACACAGAGGCAACAAACATTGATACTGGAAGGACCCGGAAACCATTGAACCTGGATGTGTGTCGCTGTGGGAAATGACCACTTCTGTGATACAACAAAAAGGGCTTCCCAAAGACTAACCCCCCGTACAAACGGGGAAATTCCCTTGTATCACAGAAGTGGCGAAAAACCCCTTGATCCCACAACCCTGCAACAAATGGTTGGTTGTTGCAGGCGTTTCCTACCGAGGGCTTCACCCTGTTACACCACGGTCTCGAAGGTCTCGATGCTTTCAGGCGAGGCTCGATATCCTTGCCGTCTTTGTCATGCTGCACCACCAGGAGTGCGTCTTCCTCAGCATCCTGCGCATGGCGTGAACCAGCCACAGCCTCTGGAGATGTGGCAAGGCGAAAGAACACATGACTTGCTTGGTCCTCTTTCATAAGTTCCACCTTTCCACAGCGTGCTTACGCCATAAAAGGAGAGACGGAAACAAAATATGTGGGTGTTTTGTGAGGGTGCCCTTTTTGGAATGGCTTTCAAGGGAAACCAACATGAACATGTCACGATTCTTTGGATCCCCCTTTGACACATCATGTGTCACAGCCTCTGAACCCGTCCTCGGCAGCACGAGTTACGAGCTTTTCCATCTGCTCTTCATCCTGGCAAATGGACACTCCACATAGGTTTGGCTTTTGTTGAGGGCGCCCCTTTTAGTTTCAATTGGCCACCAAAAGGATTCAAACCGCCGTTCTTAGGCCCGTTTTTAAAGAGAGAAACCACTTTGGAACTCAGCCAACGAGCGCTCGGAGGCTTGGCCTTTCCGATTCATCCAGCCAGGGAGACCCGGCTAACCCCACAAATCCCATGGTGACTTGGTTGCGACAACTTGGGAGCGAAGTCTCAACAGCTCTCCACAGCTCTGAAACCGTGATTCGAAGAGCACAGCTTCAACTTGGGCCTCGTTGGGACGACTCTTCGCCGTTCGCGCCATGTTCGGTTTCGAGCCCCGACATGCTCAGTCTTTTTGGCACCAGGCATCAACGAAGCTCCATGTGAGTGGCTTGAACCGAATTCGAGTGGGAGGATCCAGCTGCTGCGGAGGTGTCATTCCTTTGGATCCCACAAGTTGGGGGAACCCTGACAAAGGCTTCCTAGCCCCCATTCAATCACTCAAAAGGGCACCAACAAAAGGATACCAGCGAGGTGGTACCAAAAGAAGAAGAAGAAGAAGAAGGAAGAAGAAGAAGAAACAGAAGCGGAAACAGAAGCAGAAGCAGAATAACAAAATAATCAAACAACAAACACTGACAAAGATAAACATTTGAGGGGAACACAAGGACACGGATCTCCCCAAGACACCGGCTTTGACAACAGCCTCCAGGATCTCCGCATAGTCGCGGCGCGCCTGAGCCTTGTCCTTGGCATAAGGTACCGTTCAAAGGAGAAGCCCAAAATGGCTGGTTGCCATCTCTACTCTTGGTATGGTAGCAAAAAAAACTGTGTTTTTTTGCAGACCCCCAGTAAACATGAACAGAGCCAAAAAACTAAAAACCTTAAGAACATGCCAAGAACAGTGAAGTTGCCCTTTGGCTTCCCAAGACCAAAATTTGTTTTTGGGGTCTCTTAAGGGGAAACACCCAGAGAAAGGCCCCATTGGATTGGCCCCAACAAGTCGAAGCTTTAGGTTTACCAAAATGGTCGAACCCCAAAAAGCTTCAAGTCCAACTCCGGGAGTGAGAAAAATGGTTTCCCTTTAAGCTAAACCCCTTGGTTTTCCCTTTGGTCTTCCCTTTGGTTGGTGCCAATCCATTAAAAGGGGAAAACCATGATTGGCCCGAAAAAGGGAAACTTGAGGTTTACCTTTGGGAAAAATGGTTGGTGTTCCCTTTGGCTTCCCAAGATAAACCCCTAAAGGAGGGGGTCTCTAAATGAAAAACACCCAAACAAGGCGGCGCTGGCGCTTAGGTGGGTGGGTCTGCTTTTCTGGGACCCACCCCTCACCCCACCACACACAACCAGTCTTTCCTGATGGTGTCCCTTTAAAACCAACCAAGGGGTACCCTCAAAAAAGCTTCAGACCCACGGGGAATCAATGAGTTAACCTTGCTAAAGTTGGCCAACCAGGGTACCAAGCCTTCATTGAAGTTAAAGTCTGCAGTGGACCCGTGACTTGCATCTGTCTTTGCGAACGATGCTTGAATCGAACTAACCATGAGGGGGGGGGCAACGAAGCGATGACGGATCCGTCTCCTTGAAAAGCACAAAGAACACCGAGTTTTCAATCGAGTAGTCTAAGGAGGTCTTACATCGTTTTCCTGAAGGTCAAAAGCAAACCCGGACACACTCACATACACACTCACACACTCACACTTAGTCACTAGTCACGTCCTCTAAGCAGGCCTATGCTTCAATTCGTATCAGCTCGCGCGTGTTGTAAGGCCAGGAGTTGTTCCCTCAGGATCAGTTGCTTCTCTCTGAGAAGCAAACAAACCTAGGTCCTCCTGTAGAGAGGTTAGAATAAGGGTATCCTTTTTTCCGCAGTCTGCTTTAGTAGGGGAACCCTCCCAACCAAAAAAGGGGAGAGAAGGGCACTACTGGGGGACCTAGAAGCAATAACACGAGGTTTTGGGCTTGGCCCGGGTGGCCGAGCTTCCAAGTCTCGGCCGCTTGCATGAACTGCTGGAGCCGGAGCCCAACATTGATGCCACAAGTCACATTACACCCTGAAGGCAATGTAGCATCATTTGAATTAACAGCCTTTTTAGGCTCTCTCTCTCTCTCTCTCTCTCTCTCTCCATTTTTTCCTGTTTTTTATTTCCTTATTTATTTGTTCGTTCTTTCTTCCTTTGTTTCTTTCTCTCTCTCTCTCTCTTTCTCCCCTTCACGTTGAGTGGGAGGTTGCCATCCCACCGTGTTTCGCTGCCGTCCCGGGCCGCCGGACCCCCTTCGCCACCATCCGCGCCGC